CACACACACAGGTCCTCCCTGTCATGCCACAGATCCCCTCAGATTATTCCTCAACTAATCTCTTTATCGTCGACACTCACCTGGCCTCTCGGATCCAACACACACTGTGTTTTTCTTCAGACTGGAGCCATGAAACAATCCTTTGAATTGAAGAAAAAATTAAAGACGTGTTGCTGTGTCGAGTGTGAAGTTTCAACAGAGAGAAGACTGACATTCAGCCTTGACGGTGTGTGTGTGTGTGTGTGTGTGTGTGTGTGCGCGCGCGCGTGTGTGTGTGCGTGTGTGTGTGGAGGAGCACAGTGACAGCAAAAACAGACACACACATCTATCTGTCTGCTGCAGGCGGCTGAACAAGCTGCTGGGCTGAGACCTGCATGTGTGCAACACAACAGCGCCCCCTCTTGGTAATAGTGAACCTCCCATATACACTGTGTTAACGATTAACACGTTTTGGGGGGGTATGTCATTTTAATGTGGGGCTCTTCTTGAAAAGGTTTGCAGGCTCCAAAGTTAAGAAAACGCTTTCGTTTCTTTATTCTATACATTCCTCTCACAGCTGATTCAGCTGAATAAAGAAACAACAACAACATTTTCCAACAGCACTTGAAGGCAGCATCAAAAAACCACACTTAAAGGGATAGTTCACCCAGTAATGAAAATCGACACATTATCTACCCACCACCACGCAGATGGAGGTGTGGGTGAAGTGTTTGAATCCACAAAACCCTTTAGGAGTCTCAGGGGTAAACAGTGTTGCAGCAGAATCTAATACAGCTGAAGAAATTAGTGACCAAAGCTTCAGACGTGCACACAACGGGAAAAAACATGACATGCCTCCATCCTGCCTGTGTGGTGTCATCCCTGTTATGCTTTGTGGATTCAAACACTTCACCCAGCCCTCCATCGGCGTAGTGGTGAGCAGATGTGTGAATTTTCATTTCTGGGTGAACTATCCATTTAAAGAGCATGTAATGCAAAACATCATATGATCATAGCATTTGACATGTAACCAAAGCACACCTGACTATACCCTTAAAAATACAGTTTTGTAATTTGTTGAAGAGTTGGTATAATTTCCTGTCACATGGTTTTCTTGCACAAATTAGAAAAACAGCTCTTTGAATGGTGGTTACACCACCTTGACACTTTAGGGAATTGACTTGACTCACCTGATTCCCATAAAATTAACAATAATATTCAGAACAGTTTTGTTGTATTTATTTAATCTTAATAAACACAGATGTAGGATTATACCAAACTACTGGTATGGTGTTTTATTGTGAATTCCACTGTTTCTAAACAAGTTTAATTATTTGGTTTATGATTAAACATATTTTTGTCATCATCCCCAAATATTCTCACATAATTGATTAAATCCAGACATTTTAGATTAGGACTTCAAGTGACATTTGGACACAATAAATTAGCATTGACTATTTTCCCTCTTTATGGTGTTTCCTCATATTGTCTTGCTCTGGCCATTAATGGGGGTGGGGATATGTTTTCATTGTCTTTATTGCTTTATTCTGTTAAGTCTGATTGTTGGTTGGTTGGATGTTTAGATGGATGGATGGACGGATGGATGGTATTTTCACAAATCTACTGTGGGAAAGTTTGAGTAATAGTTGTGAAGGAATCGGGGCAGGAGTATTAGAAGTATTATCCTACTTTTCCCCCCTCTTGCATCACTGTTATTAAACTTTAGTAATGGCCTCTGTTGGTGGTGGGTTGGGATAAATTGCCTTGATATATTTTTCTGTGTTTTCCCCTGTAAACTGCTCTGTATTATGGAAAATTCAATAAAAGAAAATGATCATTAGTCAGATTGTCTAATATTTGCTGTTCAAGGGCCTTTTAGTACATTTCTCAACCTTATACAGCTGCTCTGATGTGTGTGGAAGTTATGATGTTCAAGTGCCATGTAGGAATCCTTGACCTTTTTTATGCTCTGTAAAGATATCACAAATGGAGATGTGCTGAGGTCATACGCTCACATTTACTCATAAGATATCCTGTTGTTAAATCAGGGAGATTGTTGTTAAAGAAAGAGACATGATTTAAAACTCAAAAATGCCTCATAAATCTGATTTTGCAGAGGATTTTTTTTTGGGTCATTTTTAGATTTATTTATCATGATTTCAAAACGTGATATTTATAGGAAAAGAGAGAGCAGGAACAGTACCTACTCCAGGAGCTGTCAGTAGGAAAGAGAGAGCAGGAGCAGTACCTGCTCCTTTGGGAGCGGTCAGTAGAAAAGAGAGAGCAGAAGCAGTACCTACTCCTCCAGGAGCTGTCAGCAAGGGAAAGAGAGAGCAGGAGCAGTACCTACTTCTCCGGGAGCGGTCAGCAGGAAAGAGAGAGCAGGAGCAGTACCTACTCCTCCAGGAGCAGTCAGCAGGAAAAGAGAGAGATGAGAGGGGAAACTYGGCTTTTATTGGCCTTGTGACCTCATGGGTCATGGGGCACACAGTRACCAATAGTGGTTGARAGTTGTCTCCAGGAGCAGTTTTACCACCTRTGTGTGAAGATGAAGCACCCTGGGAGACTGAGTTCTGGAAGCTCTCCTTTGTTTTCAGAGCAAAGGAGACATGTGGTCAGGCTTTTGACTACACATGTAGGCCCAACTATGGTTCACAGATACCAGATCCCAACAACTGCTACTGAAATATATTGCTACTGTAAGTAACCTGTGAAAAAAAGATATCCTATCTTTTTTCACTGCTCCAAAACACACCCAACCACCCAACCAGAGGAAATAATTTCTAATTTTTCTCACCACCAACAGGAAGATAATAGTTCCACCCCTGCATCCGTCAAATTTAAATGGCCTCCGGAACAGTTCTTGCATGTTTGACTTAGGTAATATTATGTCCTCATGCTAATACTAAGCAGTTTTAATATGACTCCCTCCCCAGTGGCAAAATGTCTCTAATATCTCTTCAAAAGGTTGATCACTGGAGCACTAACATGTTCAACATCTTCAGACTTTGGGGGGGGGGGCAATTGGTGATCTTCCTTTGTTAGTGTTTGTATATTGTTCCACCTTCTGGTCTCCTTGATGCATCAAGTCTACATTAAACTCTTCTGCATAAGACATCTCGCATAACAGGAAATACAAGCATTCCTTCTCACTGGAGAAAAGTGCTATATAAATACAAACCATTTACCATTTAAATTCATGGTAATTAATCCCTATGGATATTACTATATCCTGTTTCGTTAATATTGATTTCACACAAAGGGTGGAGCAAAAGTATCCTTTATAATGCGGTATGTGCAGCTTAACTCCAAAACACTCTGGGTCTGTCACAGGAATCAACCATGGGCCTGCTACTACCTATCCTTCTTGGTTTTCTCGCCTGTCTGATCGGAGGACTGTACCTACTTGGTATGTTTCGACAGCAGCGACCAGGAGAACCCCCTTTGGATAAGGGGGTCATCCCTTGGTTGGGTCATGTCTTTGAGTTTCGCAGTGACACACTGAAATTTATCAACAGGATGAAGCAAAAACATGGCGATGTGTTCACTCTGCAACTGGGAGGGGATTATATCACATTCCTTCAGAATCATCTATCGTTTGGGGAGTTTATTAAGGAAAGTGGAGAAAATCTAGACTTCAAGAAGTATGCTAAAATTGTGGCGCACAGAGTGTTTGGTTATATGTCAGAAGAGAATTTCCGACATTTTGACCAAGTCATCCACAACAAGCACCTCAAAGGGGATGGTCTGGAGGCATTGATAGAAGCTATGTTGCGTAATTTGGAGAATGTGATGTTGCACAAGATCAACTCAGCTGCAGACCAAAGCAGCTGGAAAGAAGATGGACTGTTTATGTTCAGTTACAATATTCTTTTTAGGGCTGGCTACTTAACTCTGTATGGGAATGTACCTCCCAACTCGGAAGGAAGTGAGGAGAAAGCCAAAGAGAAAGACAGAGATGAATCTGAAGCCTTGTTTAATGAGTTTCGTAAATATGACCACTTCTTTCCCAATCTGACTAATGGGGTGCTCTCACAGAAGGAAAAGTTGGAAGTACGGAGGCTGTTGGAATTTTTCTGGAGTGCTCTGTCCGTGCAGAAGCTGAAGATCAAGGACAACATCAGCAGCTGGATCGGGGAATTGCTGCGAGTCAGAGAGGAGCAGGGTATGAAGGAGTCAATGAGGAGCAGGTTCATGTTCTTAAACCTTTGGGCTTCTCAGGGCAACACAGGGCCTTCTGGGTTCTGGCTGCTCCTCTTCCTCATGAAACACCCAGAAGCCATGAGAGCTGTGAAAGAAGAGGCAGATAAAGTTGTGAAGGAATCGGGGCAGGAAGTCAGACGTGGTGGCCCTTTCATCAAAGTGACCAAAGAAATACTGATGAAAACACCGATCCTGGACAGTGCTCTGGAAGAGACCTTACGACTCACCGTTGCACCTGTCCTCGCCAGAGCTGTGCTCCAGGATATGACCTTCAAGATCCCAGACGGACGTGAATATTTTATTCGCAAGGGAGACAGAATGGTAATATTTCCTTACAGTGTTATTAACCTTGACCCAGAGATTCACTCTGACCCACATTCATTCAAATATGACCGCTTTCTGAATCCCAACGGGAGCAAGAAAACTGACTTTTACAAGAAGGAGAAGAGGACGAAGTATTTCAGCATGCCCTGGGGTGCTGGGGTCTCCATGTGTCCTGGGCGTTTCTTAGCCACCAGTGAGATTAAGCAGTTTGTTTTCCTCATGTTGGTCTACTTTGAGATGGAGCTGAAGAATCCTGAGGAGAAGATACCTGAAATGGATTTGAGGCGATGGGGCTTTGGATCTATGCAGCCTGACAGAGAGGTCCAGTTTCGATACAGATTCAGAGTTTAAACCAAATAATCATTTTGACATCTTTTTCAAAACATGTTCTGATTTTCTGATCAAACTTAATTTGACTGTATTTCTTGGAAATTCCACAGCGAAGTTGTATCTTTAATTAGGAACCAGCAATAATCATATGAATGGTGTGGGTTTAAAATTGAAAGTGTTTGATTGCATGTTTAAATATGTTGTATGACAGATTCATTTCCAATAGCCGATTCTAAATAACACTTGTTATATAAAACATTCACATATTCACTATTGAGCAGTGATGTGATAGAAAGCAACAAACATGACTTGGGGCAAGCAAAGGGGGTGATGGGAATTTTTCTTTGCTTAAATAAACCGCCTAATAGGGTAGGTGTGTATTGTAGATGATTGTAGAGAGTGAGGTATGTCACTTGATGTGTGTCACATGATTGGAGCAGCGCAGCTCAAGTTGGCTGCCTGAAGTACTGTAGTTTGCAAGTGTCATTCCATTTGTGGTAGTAGCAGTATCATGGTTCTTATTATCATTATTATTTAGGAGTATTAGAAGTATTATCCTACTTTTTCCCCCTCTTGCATCACTGTTATTAAACTTTAGTAATGGCCTCTGTTGGTGGTGGGTTGGGATAAATTGCCTTGATATACTGTATGTTTCTGTTTTCCCCTGTAAACTGCTCTGTATTATGGAAAATTCAATAAAAGAAAATGATCATTAGTCAGATTGTCTAATATTTGCTGTTCAAGGGCCTTTTAGTACATTTCTCAACCTTATACAGCTGCTCTGATGTGTGTGGAAGTTATGATGTTCAAGTGCCATGTAGGAATCCTTGACCTTTTTTATGCTCTGTAAAGATATCACAAATGGAGATGTGCTGAGGTCATACGCTCACATTTACTCATAAGATATCCTGTTGTTAAATCAGGGAGATTGTTGTTAAAGAAAGAGACATGATTTAAAACTCAAAAATGCCTCATAAATCTGATTTTGCAGAGGATTTTTTTTTGGGTCATTTTTAGATTTATTTATCATGATTTCAAAACGTGATATTTATAGGAAAAGAGAGAGCAGGAACAGTACCTACTCCAGGAGCTGTCAGTAGGAAAGAGAGAGCAGGAGCAGTACCTGCTCCTTTGGGAGCGGTCAGTAGAAAAGAGAGAGCAGAAGCAGTACCTACTCCTCCAGGAGCTGTCAGCAAGGGAAAGAGAGAGCAGGAGCAGTACCTACTTCTCCGGGAGCGGTCAGCAGGAAAGAGAGAGCAGGAGCAGTACCTACTCCTCCAGGAGCAGTCAGCAGGAAAAGAGAGAGATGAGAGGGGAAACTTGGCTTTTATTGGCCTTGTGACCTCATGGGTCATGGGGCACACAGTAACCAATAGTGGTTGAAAGTTGTCTCCAGGAGCAGTTTTACCACCTATGTGTGAAGATGAAGCACCCTGGGAGACTGAGTTCCATTTAGCATTGCCTACACACACACACTATAATAATTAAACTTTATTTGTTGAGCAACTGTTATACAAGAAATGCAGCTCAAATAATGGCCCCAATCCTTTGAATAGAAAGAAGTTTCAGCAGAGAGAAGACAAACATTTAACCTGGCTGGTGTGTGTGTATATGTGTGCAAAACTGGTAATAGTCAACTTCCCAAATTTACGTAATTAATACATTTAATACGGCAACACTTTAAACTTAAAACCATTCCTTAGAAATAAGTACTAAATAGTAACACTATAAGAAGTTTTAAAAAGAAATAGATCTTATCTTTGGGAACCACTAACTGGAAGCTCTATTAATAGATAATGAATAGTGGACCAAAACATGTGTACTGTTATAAAATATATTTTAGTGGGACAAATCATACACTGTACATTGGTAATATAAGTGTGTATATGTGTGATAAACGAAGGGACAAACAAAATGAACAAAACGCACCAAAGTACATATTGATTATTATCAATATTATTATGATATATACATGATTATCTTTGATATTTAATTAAAACGCATTTTGTTTCATCTCAACTTATTTAATTAACAATAATATACTTGTACTTTTCTTCCCTTGTATTTGTATTCTGATTCTTATTATAGATCTTATTATTATATAGCTGTGGTAAAGACTGTATGAATTATTTTGAGAGATCATCAAGACTAGATCATTTTGCTTTATTATGATTATTATTATGATTATTATTATCATGAGTGAGGTGTCAGAGAAAGGCCACAGGTTGTAACCAACTCAAAAGGGTTTATTTACTCTGTGATGAGTGATAAATTATTGGCAGGGCAATTATGCAAGTAACCATAGTGATAATATACTGTATATCTGCTCATCCTCAGCTGCTGGCACGTGCACACATAGACATCGAAGGGGGCTTGAGCCCCTGCCCTTTTTCTTCCTGGAGAGAAAGTGCCCTTTTTCTGGGGTGCTGTTTTTAAATAAATGATTACCTCTGTATACTCCTGTTTGTGCACAGCTTTCCTGTCAAACGAATATATATTGGTTGAATAAACAATCAAAATATCAGTTCGGATATTAGACGAGTCTCTACCCTCCATGACTCCTGCACAGTGGTGAGCACTAGAGCTGTGGACATTCTTGATTCTTCGATACATCGCGACGTGGACAACTCTGAATCGATGAGACAGAGAGAGAGAACATAATCGATTCATGTTGTTTTCAGGGTTGTACCGCCGCTGAATAATTTTAACACCGCTGCTTCGGGATCAGGACAGACGCACATTAAAGGTCTGGTCGTCCTGTGTCAGAGTCTCTGTCAGAGTCTGCTTCGTCCTCACTCCCCCTCTGACCTGTGTTCACTTTACACTTTAACATTAAACACCATCACTGATCACAAGTTATTAAGACACGCACAGGACTGATGTTTACTTTGTGTTTGTTTGATTCTCTCTAGAGTTTATGAGACACTTTTAAACCTGCTACACAACACAAGACATAACATGATAGTATCCAGAGTTAATAATATGGATAATAGGAGGAGGTAAAGAGCACCGGGAAAGAGTTTTGTAGTTGCAGATCATTCTTTGTGGATATTTATCATTTTCGTTATTAGTTTAATCCTGTTCTGTCTGCAGTTGCCTTTTGAGAGTAGCAGAACAGTGGGATTAACATCAACCTATTTTTACTTGAATAATATTTTATTCCATTTTAGAACATTCAGTGTATTTTCTGCATAGCTTATTTGATGCACATATGTGTTGTAGATGCTGTTCAACAACAATGGAAAGGATGGTGGGTTTTTCTCAGTAATAGTGGGTTAAAGTCCTAAAGCTAAGTTTAGTGATGGATTGCTTTTCTAAAGCTGATATAATATGTTCTTGGTCATTCAAATGAATAGGAATAGGCATTATCTAGACTTAAATTTGAACATGAACGGAGGTTTGTAGTTAATCCTCAGCCACCTTCCCCGTCATCCTGTATGTCTCTGTTGGTCCCTGCTCTCCACACGTCAGCTGTGTCTCTGGACTTTCTGGCTCCTCCATCGCATCTGCCAAGAGTGAACAGGATCAACAGCTTTTGCCATGGAAGAAACTCAAAGGGTTTACCGAACAAATCTACCTTTTTATTTGGATATAGAATATACGTATATTGTAGACGGTGGAAAATATTATAGACCTGTTGGTTGACAGTCTCCCGACTTGTGCTTGTGGGAGGGTGCGTAGAGGAAGATGATGGTGAAAACGTACAGATTCCACATGCCATAGATCCCTGTGAGAAAAGCACTGTGGACCTGGAGAGTGTAGTCTCCCCAGTGCCAGTGGCCTTCACTGACCTGGTGAAGAGTAAGAACTCGATGCCATGAGCTCAAAAACAGTAAATAAGAACAAGATATTATCAGAAAATACTTTTATGTTGATTATTAGTGGGATAACACTTACTTGATTTAAGATGAAGAAGATGATAGTCATGGCTGCACATGCAAGAGTTACCAACATCAAAAACTTGAACCTGAAGATGATACCCTGCCAATACCAATGAGAGTGGAAAAACAGCCAGAATATTGATTCATCAGTTGTATAATAAGTCTCATTTTTATTTTGTCTGTGTTTCATATGATACATTCAACAAATGAAACAAAATAAACCTTATAGCACAGCCTTCTGGTCTCTGGCATTGCAGGAAGTCGCTGTACTTTCCCACCAATGTTCCTGAACACACAATGCACCATGTGACACAGGGAAAGGAAATACAGAGAGACTGAAAGCCCTGCCACAATGATGAAGGTAAACTGGGATGGAGGGTCAAAGAAAAGGCCTCAGTGACACAGAGAGAGTTTGATTTTAAAGAGCAAAACATGTTTTGTTTTTTTATTCATACAGCACTAAATCAAAACTGAAGTTATCTCAAAGTAGTTTCCATGGAATAAAGGATACTGAAATCTTTGTCCCGATGTCTGATGCCCACACACTGTAGAAAGGGTTGGTCAAATGAACGCCCCTTCATGAGAAAGTAAAAACATTTGACAACATTTAAAAGAAAATACAATTGGAAAACACAAGACCTCACCCCAAACAGTCCTGTTGTTACCTTTCACTCAGGTCAAATATGAGGAGGACGGATGATCCGAACACCACAAGCCCGACCTGCCACCAGTACGCTGAGAGACGATTCCTCTGACTTTGGTCCTAAAGGTTTGTTGTTGAAACACAGGTCATAACTGGTATTAAAGTACAGAGGGGAGGTGCGGTTTAAAACTGCACTATACAACAGAGTAGACAAACTAACTACAAGACTATGCCTACACTCTGGCCACATGAGGCCGTGCATTGTACTGCACCAGTGTAGGGTCTGAAAGTTGGTCAGAGGATTTCATCCGAACACTGAACAGCAGTCATGGTACCATTTGCAAATGGAGGTCTGTGCGACTGTCCAAGGACATGCCTCCCGAGACCATCAATGACCCACCACAGGCAGCATCACGTTCACCACAGCATTTCCAGACTCTTTCACACCTGTCACATCTGCTCAGTGAGAATCTGCTCTCATCTGTGAAGAGAACAGGGCATCATGGGGCATCATGTCGCCCTCATGGAGTCTGTTCCTCCGGTAAACTGCTGGAGATCATTTTGTGGTGCTCTGGCAGCGCTCCTCCTGTTCGTCCTCACACAAAGGAGCAGAAACTGCTGCTGCTGCTGCTGGGTTGCTGCTCTTCTACTGCCCTGTCCAGCTCTCCTTGTGTAAAGGTAAAGGTATCTCCTTCATGCTCTGCAGGCTGAACTGGGAGACACGGCAAACCTTCTTGTGACTGCATGTATGGATGTGCCAACCAGGAGGAGCTGGACTACCTCTGCAACCTGAGTGGGCTGCAAGTACCACTTCATGCTACCAGTGGTAAGAATGACAGAAATAGAGAAAAATCAATCACTTGCAAACCATTCCCTTTTGGGAATGCCTTGCTGGGACCCCTTCAGTCCACCTGTTGTAACTTTCAATTTGCACTAAAGCAGGTGAAATTGATTCAATATCGCTTCCTAAACGGGCAGTTTGCCGTCCCAGCTTAATTGACTTGGTAAGTTCATAAAGTTTTCCATTAATTTTGAGAAGTGTATGTTTCTCATTAAATTATGACTTTATTCTTGCAATATTACATTATTCTGGAATGTTTTCATATTGCCCTCCATCATTATGTGCACAGTTTGCACTTGGTTTCTAATTTTGATGATAAGAGAATCATTTGAAGGTTAGAATGATGTGATTTGGTACCATGTGTTTCTTGGGAGGTGGGGTCACCACAGTCAATTGAAACTCTCCTGATTGTGAACAAAAGAACAAAATTCTGACCATGAGGTGTTCACCACAGAAGATGACCCAGAAACAGAATAGTGTGGAGTAGAAGACGCCCTGCTGTACATCCTCAAACAGCAGCATCCACGTCCACTCAAAGGCAAGGGAGAGCCACTCTACCGGAATATTCAGGAAGGTCATGGAGACACCCAGAGCAAAGATCACCCTACACGAGGCAAACACACAGGGCGGTGAGTTAAAACACAAATAACTTGATGCTGCGAGCACAATATTGACCTGGTTCTTCCAGGCTGATCATGCACTTAATATCAAGAAGTCTTCATGTGTCCCGCCCTCCAAATGGTGCCCTGAAGCTCTTCGTGCCTCTTAAGGTATGACACATGGGTTTTTTGTGGCTTTAAGCTCTCACTGAGAGACTAAGAGAGAGCTTCAATTTAGAAGCAATGGGGCTGTGTTGTATAACTTCACTCTGCCCTTTCAAAAAAAGATGTGTTCATTCAGTCTGCAATAAAAGAATTCTACAGCCTGGAAAATATCAGTGACATTATGAAGTAACATGTGATGTGAAATAAAACAATTCAATATGAGAGAGGTGATATTTTCGATGTGGATGCACATAACTACAAAGGCAAAGCAATTGGTTATGTGAAATCATTCTTTGTAATCATACTTTTCCAAAAGGACTGGAGGTCTGGCCATCAGACTGATTCTGTACCAGTACCAGGCTGTTGCCACAAGTATCCAGGGACTGAATACAGTCTTGATGCTGATCCACACTTTAGTAAAGCCTCCGTTCTGGTGGATGCCCTTAAGAAAAGGGGGGACATTAAATGTATGATTGTGATGGCTGCAGGTTTTGGAATTCAGTTCAATGAAAATATAAAGTGGGCTCAGGAACAGTAGGGTTAAACTCACCACCATATGGATGTCCTTTATTTCTCCAATGCCAACATTCATTGTGTCATTCACTGGCAAGCGCAGGTTAATTAAAAAGTACTTGTGGGCAACAGTACCCAGTTCCATGAAGGGTATGGGGTCACAGTGATAAAAGCGGCCTTCGTTTTCATACGTCTGCAGAAGCACAGACTGTTGAAGGTCATTTAGCAGAGACACATTTAAATATTATTTACCATAGCCTTGCAGGTTTACCTTAGGGACTCCTAACATGCACTTGAGAGGCCTTTGCTCCACCGAGTGAAACTGTGTGGTCCACTCAGACATCACATCATCTCTGTATGCGATACCAGCGTCAATAGTGATGATAACATCATCTTCTATACAGATACATAATCCAGTTTAATAACACATCTGTCACCTGAAGTGCTACGTTATTTACAGTCCTGACAGTAATATATGCACCTTACCAATCTGATTGATCATTTTGAATGCAATGTCAAATTGAAGAACTGCCAGCACGTACTGGAACCAGGGGCTCATCTTCATGTTGGGAAGAGGCAGATGAACGGCAAAAACAATGTCGTTGGCATCCAGAGTTTTGGCCAAAGGTTCGTCAAAGCTCTTGACCTGCTGGCAACGATTAGACCCCCACGGCATGAGCCAGCCACGTGACCGGTGGCGATTTATACATTTGGTGGCCAAGTAGCAGATAGCACTGGTGGGATTGGGAGCTATAGAAAAACGGTAAATAACCTGTCATAGTCTCGGTGTTTCGAGTTGTGGTCTACACAGACAGAATAGAGCTTTATATTCATTTACTTCAAAAGGATTGTTGGTGCAATTTTAAAAACAAAGCATTCATACTTTACACCTTTAAAAAAACACTTCCCCAATTATAAAGTTGTAAAATTTGACTAGTACTTACCAATCAAAGCTCCAATCGAGATGGAAAGAATTTGGAAAACAAGAATAAAAATACCCAAGAAAACCAATTTCTTAGTGCTCATGTTCTCTATGATTGCCCCTGCCATTTTTAAAAGGTCAAAATGAAAAGTGATGCTCGAAACTACGCTTGCTCCAGACAGACAAAGTGCATCACTGCAGCTCGTCTATGTGCTCACACAAATTCAGACTGCCGGGGACTTGTCAGAAATCATCATCAGACAGAGCATGTGCAGGAGGAGGGGTGGGTGTAACCATGACGTGTTTTGATTCAGGAGGGGAAAAAAAGATGGAAAAAAACTGTATAAAACATGTTTCCTTTATTGCTGAAAGAATACATCTTTGAAGTGTGTATCACAACTAGGTTACTTGTCTTTACACTGAGGACTGACCATAGTCACAATCCAATGTTTGATACTGCACCCAAGAAGAGGGGAAATAACAAATTTAGCCGGGATATCAAAGCCTCTTACAAAGTCATAGGTTGATAATCCTTAACATTGTTTACCCTGACCAGGAGTCAGCAACAAGAATTGCAGTAGCACCTACATCTTTAAAAAAGAAACACTGGCCCCATACACACCTGGTATTAACATGTGGTATTTGTGATCCGATCACAAGCGGACAGCTCTAAATACAGGTGTGAACGCACAGATAGCGATCCAACACCAGACCACATTTGAATGTGGTCTGGGCCACATCCTTTTAACAGTGTGAACACAAATCTGTCCTGGGCTACATATGAAGGACCTCCTACTGGCGTCCTCTGACCCACTGCAGTTTCAATACGAATCCAACGGATATTTTCTCTTCTGGTTGATTTATTTGTAACCACCGCCACAGTATCAAAACTAATCACCACATAATGATCAAGACTTTCCTTAAATTCACAGATAAAAGAGATTCATTCAAACTCTCCTGACTCGTCTCTCTACCTCTCTTTCGCTAGCTCAGCCTGACACACGCACACACAGTAACACACACAGCGACATCAGAAACATCTGTAAACTCAGACTGGCTCAAAGCGACATTGTTTGGTCTTAACTAACACAAATGACGTAGGTGTTCATTTGCATGTAGAGTGTGGACGTGAGATCCGATCACAAGTGGTCACAGGAGACGCATTCAGGACACACTTCAATGCTGGGTGTGAACACACGTACTTAACGCTGGCCACTTGTGATCAGATCTCTCAAGGACGGATGTTAATACCAGGTGTGGAGAGGGCCACTAATTCTAAGGTGTCTGTCCTCTGTCTTTGGCTCTACAGGACAAGAATGAACTGTTTCAGAAAGGTGCAGCTAATCAGCAATACTGTGGGTGGTTCAAAGTAGAAGAGAATGCAACATTAAATATTTGACTGAGCTAAAATTATGGAAATTATCAATTTAGTTCCATAGTTAACAAAAACAATTTCTATATTCCCACCCCATCAAATGATCCTCTGTTGAACAAATACACCAAGACGGGGGAAAAAAAACTCTCTGTAAAAATGTCCGTCAAACCACAAGGAGGAAGGAATCCACAGCTCTGAAAATATTACAAACATGTTCTCATTAGCCACCAAAGAGATCTAGTCAAACGGAAAACAGAAGTAAGCTATCTGGTGCAGTACACCAGGAGTGAAAGCTTGCTGCGTGGTCACTGAAATTCACCGACATATCCCAGGCAACAGTTTCCTTCAGTGTGTCCACAACACATCCAGAATTCTACAAAAAACTCACAACATAATATCAAAACAATTTAATAGAAGAAAGTGGGGGGGGAAAAGGGGGAAGATGAGACTAATCAAAAACTTCCTGAACAGCCTCTTAATCCAAATCATTTTATGGAACTGATATCTGAACGGGTGACTATTTTAAAATCCCCTTTCATCTCTCTTCACTGTCCATTCCAAAATGTGCATTTCCAATGTTTCACTGATGTTTTCCCGTGGTGAAACACATGTCACGTCTCTGTCACTAACAGTACTGGGACATCTGTGAGCCAACACTGTCCCAGGAAGAGATTCGGACAAGTTGAGTGGCATCCAGGGCTCAAATGTCATCTTCTTCGTCTTCATCCTGAGAGGAGCCGGCCTGCTGGGCTGCGCTGGCAGATGCTGCCTCCATCTGTGCCTGTTGGGCGGCCTGCTGCATCTGCAACCACTCCTGCTGGGCGAGCTCTGCCTGCTGCTGCCGCGCCTGTAGGTGCACAGTGAAACCAAACAGAAACATTAGACGAGGGAGGTGAAATGAAGAGCTTATTAGGCAATTGGTGAGGATCATGATTGTGATGTCTGACGTGTGATTACAACTCAAACATCAGTTTTTTTTACTCATATTAACTTGCGATGTTCATCATTAACCGTTATAGATTTTGTCTGATTAATCTAGTTAATCTGTAAAAAAATTAGCCTTGGACATCGGTACCACCTGAGCAGGTATTCTTTGCTGTGGGTCTCACATTTACCAGACTGCGCACCAGACCGGCCTGAATAAAACCGGTAGAGTCTGCTAAAGACTGAGTCAAGATTGTAAATCTGGTTGGATTGTTATGATTGTCCAGGGAATATGTAAAGTTTACTCTCATGTGCACTGGAGTGACTGAATGCCTGTCACTGCCGTGGGAACACACACAACTGAAGCGTAAAGTAATGCCTGCAAGATGCAAAAAAATTGGAACTATGGATGTTTCTATGGTCCAATTTCTACTGACTGTGAGCAACTGGTGTGAGTAACAGTACACAGCAAGTAGTGATAATGAGTGTGTCCTAATTTTCTATTGCTTATGCTGCTGGAAATTAGAGCCCTTGTTGCTTATAACATTTTAATCTCACTGGTTAATGGTTAATAATCAGTTAACTAGCATCAGTAAAAAACATTTTTTCACGTTCATCCCTGATATTAACCCATTTTCGAAAGAGGCATGAGGAAAACATGCCAAAGGTTGGTTATCAACATTAATACCAACATCAATTTTATCATCATCAAAAAAAAAAAAATCACCCTAATAACTTGAACCCAGTTTTCCATTGCTCCAGGTCATTACAGATTGTTTCATCTCCCCTTTCTGTGAAAATTACAGCCAGTCACAATTTAGCAGAGACACAGGATATGACTGATCCCACCTATTTCACATATATCTTCATGATGAGAGAACACATTTACTCATACATGCATATCTGCCAGGTGAACTTTCAAAACCCTCCGGACTATTTAAATAATTTACTATCTTTAGAGAAATTGCACCTTTAACTCAACACAACTGAACAGCTCTTTTATGGCAGTTTTTGTTTTGTTTTTGTTTTAGTGCATGTCTGTAACCTGCTTTTTCTCCCCCATGAATCACATTGCCTACACAGCAACAGGGTTGGACCATAATCCTACTTGCAAATATGAGAGATTTAAGTCATCATACCTGTTCAAATATTTATTTAATTTCCTTTTTGATAAACACAACTAATGTTTAAGTACTTTTTAAATTGTATAGACGGGATGACAATGGAAAAAATGTGTTTTTAACACTCTCATAAAAGAAATACACTTGTATGGTTTTCACCCAACCACTTGCAGTATATGATATAACACATATTGCCACCAAAATGCCTGTATCACAATCCTATTGATACTGTGGGTACTGAAACCATCACACTGCATGAACCCATACAATTACTACCAGCCCCCACTCACCATCAGATGCACAGAACAAATAAACTGAGGAAGAGCTTCTATACATTCCAACCATAACTACCTACTTTGCACTACAATCAACCACAACTACCTCCTCTTGCACCTCTCTTTGCACTATTTTGTACAGTTTTTAACGTCCTGTAAACATGCTTATTTTATTGTTA